TTGGGTCAAATCTGTTCTCAGCTCTGCATCAGAGTATGCTGATCACTTAGGGAGTGTCTGTCTAGGAGCTGGCCAAATGGGGTTGATTAGTCCTGAATCTACATGATTTCACCATCTTCAAGACTGAGGATACCAAGGTTTAGAGACATTCAGCCAGGCCCAGAAGACTCCAGCCACTGTCCTAAGCCTGAGAACACCTGGATTCCAGGAAAAGCAAAGCCCCACATGACTGAAACCACCGAAGAGACAATCATTTCATGGGAGCAGAACTACTGCTCAAGCCTTGAGGATTCCAGCAGGGTGCAGTGGACATTGATTTTACCTTTGGCAAGAGGGATACCAGAAAGACTCCCCAGAAGGTAGGGATCGACCCATGTCATAAAAGATGAGTAAGCATTTTCCAGGTGCTCAACAAATTTGTCTAATGGATAAAATAGTTGTAATAAATTTTTTCTCCCTAATTTTCCCTGGAGCATCAAGGCAGTTTCAAAGACAAACTCTGAAGAAACAGTCCTGCAGTTTCTTGCAAGTGAATGTAAATTCTTATATGGTCCTTGCTGTTCAAAATTTTAACCTTTCTATGCCTCAGTCCGATGTTTTGAAATTAAGCCTAATAATACTGCCTTGTTGGACAAATAAAGAAAATTATGCAAGTAAAGTAATCACCGTGATGGCTTGCACATAGCACTTTTATAACTAATGGGAAGAAAAGAGTTAAACCAGCAGTTTGAGACTGTGATAATCCTGAGAAAGGCCTGCTTATAAAATTGATCTATGGCTGGTATCTGCCAACTTGGACTTCAGAAGGACTCCACTATTCTCCAAAAAGACTAAGAGTGTCTCACTGTGCCTCAACTGTACAAAGAGTAAAGTTTATGCTGAACACTGCTGTAACTTCTGGAGTTTGTAATATTGGCATATTCCAGACAGGTGATACCTACGTGACGGGTCACCAACAAATATTTTGGGCACTGAGTTTCATTTCCTTGGCAGACAACAATTCATAATTGTCACAATTCAATGCTGGAGGAACATGCACATCCTTTGTTACTCCACCAGGAAAAGACTTGGATAAATGCACTTGGCCCCATGCACCTGTTGCCTTTGCCTTTTTCTGTGAGAAATCACAACTGAGTGTGTTAACCACCAAGTCCTAGACGTCCTCTAATCAATCTGCAGACATGAGGTAGCACTGAAGACCCCTGATAGAGCTAGATGAGCTACTCCCTTGGCTCTGTAAGCTTTGTGCCAGTGTCCGTACTGGGCAGTATTACAGAGAACACACCAACAACAGTAAGAGCATCAAAGTCTAAATATATTCATTCTTAATTTCTTAGATAATACTTGATGCAAATTTACATACTATTTGAAATTTCTTTTATTCAATATCTCACCATATAGAAATCTTTCCTTCTTTCTTCACTATTACCCAGTCGGTCTTTTTCCTGAGTAATCTCCAGGCCTGTTCTTCCCTGGCTCCCATCTCATTATCACCCAGTGCCTCTCACCCAGTGCCTCTACTGGAACATGAAGGGCCCTATGCCATGTGCCACCTACTGCCTCAATTAGAAAGCAGTATCACTTCAGAAACCCCCATAGTCCTTTGTTCTGTGTTACTGAGAGTAAGATCAAACAATATAAAGTGCCAGAAAGATTTTTTTCTAGTTCATTAGAATGTGCAGAACAACAAAGTAACCAACTACCACAAAAGAAAAGACAAACTGAAAAATGACCCAATGCAGAAGCTAAAACATAGGTTTTGCAACATCACACTTTCAGGAAATGGTTTGACTGAACTTCTTATTATCAAGAACAGAATTTCTCAGTATGCTGTACTTTGAAAAAAGCACTGTTAAGTTGTACTTAAATAGGAAGAATTTCGATAAAAATGTGTTGCTACAATGGATGTCTGTTTGCCATTATGGTTAACTAAGAGTTGTAACAAGTATTAGTAAGCTTGAGTGCCATGAAGAAACTAGGAATTTTAGCTACTAAGTCAATGGACAGCCTTCTCGCTGTTTTTCATTAGAAAACAGGAGAACTATCAACAATTTACATATTTCTAGTGCTACTTATTTTAACCTTAAATGGCCTGCATGGTTTTTCTTACCGACTTCTAACATAGAGTCTTACATTTTTAACACAATTTTATTTTTTAATTATTGATTCTTACAGACTAACCACATCACAGCCCTTTTTGAATCATAGCTTCTAATACCAGAGAAATGGAAACCAGAAGATTCTCCCAACACAAAAAGATAGCAGAGCATATTCATGCAAACAGAGAAGAAGCACAATTAGTGAGATGTCACCTGGCTTGCCACAAAGGGGGTCCAAAAAGCATCTTGTGGGAATTCAGCCAAGCATTGTCACAACTATTGTTATTTCAAAAATTCTGATTCTTATCTCAAAATTCCTATACTGGTATTTATTTACCTATTCATTCATTCATTTATTTCAGTGCTAGGGATGGAACCCAGGACCATGCGCGTCCTAAGCACATGCTCTACATATGAACCACAATCTCCAGCCCCTGGTAACCATGTTTAACCATGAAAGGCAAACAAATAGATGACCATTTCAAGCAGGAGGTCACTAATGAAAGGCTAGGAGAAAAGAAATCAGGAGGGATCAAAGTGGTCAGTGCATTAAAGGAGTGAGAGTTAAGGCAGAAATTAAGCTACTGGGACCAGGATCCCTGGGCAGACAGTGGCGGTCAGAAAGGAGATAGAATCTGACAGTACGTGTTAGATTTTTACATGTTGGACAATCATCTCATCTGCCCCTTTCCGGATTGCGCTGTGACTGAGGCTGTTTCGAGGCCAAACAGTAGCCTGAGATCGGAAGTAAGAGGATTGCACTGTTCTCTTTATTTTGTTAAAGAACCAGGGCACTGTTAACTTTTGCAGTTAGCCCACCTTATCCACAATGCCACACTACAGACTTGACGCAAATCAAAAATATTCAGAGGCAGCCGGGGATTTAGCTCAGTGGTTTCACCGCCTGCTGAGCAAGCACAAGGACCCGAGTTCGATCTCCGGTACCAAAAAATATATGTATTTTGGGAAAAACTGCCTCTGTACTGAACATTTACAGACAGACTTCTTTGTGTATTATTCCCTAAATTATATAGTATAACAACTGTTTACATAGCATTTCCATTGTATTAGATATTATAAGAAATCCACAAATGATTTAAAGTATACAGAAGGATATAAATACCATTATATGCAAACATTATGCATTTCATGTAAGTCTTACATGCCCAAGGATTTCAGTGTGAAGCACAGGGCTGAAGCCAATCCCCCTGGATACCAAGGGACAACTGTATATTAGTCATCTTCAAACCGAGTTAACTGCAATGTATTTCAGTACTATCAGTCCACATTTCTAAGCAGATAATGTAAGTTTGAGTCTTTTTGGCTACTAAGTACCATATTTTACCACCTTCACTGCTTATCCTTCTATTCTTTTCTTAAACTTACTATATTAGATTCCAATTATAACAAGTCATTGCCATATAGCAAAACATTCATTAATGTTTCCCTTAAAATATACCACACAGTTTACATTTCTAATAATAGTCCTTATTTGAAACACTTTTGGACTTTTTTAAATTTTGGGTTTAATAAATGAAATACACGTATACTGTATATACCACATATGACATAACATTCCCATCAGAGACTGGGATAGACCCACTTGACCACCCACATTAGTACTTCCGCACTCACACACACACTCAACAGGATGAAGACTAAAAGTGGTCTCATCTCAGGTCTGGTTTTTCAAGTAAGAGTTTTTCAAGTTTGGGGCTTTAGCATTTTGGGCATTTAGAGACAAAGGACTATGGTCCTAAGTACATGAACTTGAAGAATTCAACAGGTCACAATGACAAGCCACAGAGTTGAGGACCATCCAAGAGAAGCAATGCAACTGGGTAAACCAACCACAGAGATATTAGTAAGAGTAAGACAAAAACAAAACAAGTAAATTAACTTTCATGGAATGTGCTCTTGGGAAACAAAAAAAAAGGCACCAGTAGAATTAAACCCAAACATCAGTAGCACCAAGTATCCATCATAACCAACTATACAAAAGCATGTGACCAACCAAGGGAACCCAGTCCCCAACCATTCCCTAGAATTCAAGAATACTGCTAGCAGAGTGGACCACGGCAGTACTAGAAAATGCTAAATGCTACAGCCTAACTGGAGTCGGTATCCCCAACTACACTGTCAAGAACAAAAAAGTGGGCCAGAGAAGAATGCTCACTCACACACCTCATTTGTGGTGAAAGCAGAAGCCAGAGTACCTGCAAAGTCAGGAGTTGGCTGACCACAACCTTCCAGGTGGCACATGCTCACTGAGTAGCTTTTTCAGTGAGCGGCTTCTGCCTACTCCCATCAAAGGAACACACGGAAACTGCTCATCACCAGAAGAGGTGAAAAATTCTGCTTTAGGTCAATCTCAAGAATGTGCTGGGTCCATCAAATCACTAACCAGTTTTAAGTAACTTCTACTTAATAACAAAGAAAAATTCATATAAAGAAATGAGAAGAGGGGCTGGGGATTTAGCTCAGTGGTTCCGCTGCCTGCCTCGAAGGTGCAAGGTCCGTAGTTCGATTCCTGGTACCAAAAAAAAGAAAGAATCAAGAAGACCTAGATATGAAATATGGTGGCCTATGGGAAAGAACAATGTATACAAAATAATTAATAAATCTCATGAAGATCTAAAATTGATATAGGAATTTATTTTATCTAGCAGATTAGCTTAGCAGGTTGATATGAAATCCATGCCTACATATAGTAAACCTAAAATTAACAGGTTTATGAATGATTCCTATTCACCCACTGAACTTCACCTTTCAAGTCTCCATGATAACAAATTCTATTAATTTCATTAACCAGCATTTATTCCATGACAGTGGAGAGCAGAGCGGTATAATAAAATAGTTAAAACACAGATAGAAACAAAGTAAATTGTGATTGTCTCCTACCTCTGCTCGACCCTCATAGTAGGTTAACATGGACTTTGTAAGCACAAAAAGTCTCTCTTTGTAGTTTAAGGGTGATGTCTTCTTTTTCTGCTGTGACCTTTTAATAAGAATCTCTTCTAGAATAGTGTTAAAATTCATCTCGGTCTTCTAATCACTGTTTCTCCTGCCATTGAAGATCCTAGTATCCTGAAGTGAGAAAATAAACAGCGAAAATACGACATTTTAATTTTTCAAGGATATTGCCATTTCAAGTTATCAACACAGGCTTTACTCTCAGCCCAGATGGAGCCCATGAATGCTGCTCTCTGTACCTGGTTTGAAAATCCTCAGGGGAAAAAAGGCTCACCTTCTTCTCCTGCCTCCGTTTCCATCCTACCCTGTCATTTTAGAAGAAAATATAATCAAAGTTTTACATTATGATGATTCATTCCTTTGTGTCCCTGCAGTATCCCTTAGCTCTCTGGCACACACTTCTACTATTTGATTGCAAGGGACAAATATCTCAGATGGCAAACTATATTTCATCAAATTCAAACTGGAATTTGAGTAGCCTCAGGATATTGGTACACAATAATGTGAAATAGGAAGAAAAGGGGCAAGGGGGAAGGAGAAGTGGGGGGGGGGGTAGGGGAAAGGAAATAAGGGAATGGAATTAATATGAGAAAATGAAAAAAATGGAAACAAAGTCCTTGTAAATAGAGAGGGGTGGAGGGGTTGAAGGGAGGGCAGGGGAATGAGGAAAAAAATAAGAACCAAGAGAAATTACATAAAGGTACAAATTTCCAATGATGAATGTCATTATATTGTATACCTAAAATGTACAACAAAATTAATTTTTTAAAAAATATGTTGGTACACAAAAGAGATGAGCATATACACATAGTAAACTTTTAAACAAATGAATTATTGTAGTGATGGATACAACCCATATTTCAGCTCTGATAAGGATTTAGAGCCACCAGGATATATATTCTCTGATATCTACACCACCATGCTTCACACATGGCTCCTGTCTAAACCACAAGAGGAAGAAAGCCCACCTGGTCACAGCTCCCCTACTCAGAGCAGAGTCCATCTAGGTAAGAAAGATTTCAGCCCTATATTTAGATCCTTTATCTCTCAACTGTCCGTACCTAGAATAGGCCTTTTAAAATTCAACAGAATTTAACTACCTGAAAACCCAGATACTCAGAAAAGATTTGAAGATTCTTATTTAAGTTGAATTAATGGCAGCCTTTCCTTCCCTTGTCCTCACTGTACCCTTTCAAGAAGCAATTGTAGGGATGGGAATGCAGCTCAGCACAAGAGCACTTGCTTAGCATACAAGATCCTGGTTTCAATTCCAGTATCTCAAAATAATAATAGTAATGGGCCTCTTTTTCCAAAACAAAACAAAACACCAAAAAAAATCACTCAAAAGAAAAAAAAAAAGACAACTACTCACACACAAACAAACACAAAAGGGCCAGGGATTTAGCTCAGTGGTTCCGGCACCTTCCTTGCAAGCACAGGTCCCAAGTTTGACCTCAGGTACCAAAAACACAAACAAGTAATGGGCCAGGGATTTAGCTCAGTGGTTCCGCCACCTGCCTTGCAAGTGCAAGGTCCCGAGTTCGATCCCCGGTACCAAAATTATAATAATAATAATAGTTGAAGCAACAGTAATAATAATAAAACAATTGCATATTAAACCATCAAGGCAATAGGAGTCACATGAAGAGCACTAAGTAGCTACTTGATAGCACTGCTAGCAAATGGACACTACATTAGCTACTGAGGAACAGGTCCACTAGCACACTCAACCTGACATCCCGCTACTCAATGGCCATCAATCAAATCAGGTTCTTCCATTTTTTGGTAAGGTTACTTTAAAACAGCTTAACCTCTGAACATCAGTTCCTTCATTTATAAAGTATGGAGAGAAATACCACAAGTTGAGGGTGAGGTTTAGACAAACTATGGAAGAGAATTCATTTACTATGAAAATGCTACCCAAATATTTATTATTGTTATTTTTAGCTCCACTGCTAACTTCCTAGCTCAAAGCATTCTGCCTCACATCTGAGCCATGACAGCAGCTTCTCAACTGCTCTTCCTTTCCTTGAGCTCTTGCTTTATTTTATTCAAACTACATACCCTGTACTCCTGCTAACTCAGTCTTCAACGATGCATCATTCATCATTCCATTTCACTCATTAGAAATCATCAGTGTCTCCCCAACACCCTCATAAAGCGACAACTCCTTAGTCTGACCCTGGAGATTGTCCACAATCTGGCTGCAACCTGACATCCTATTTTTATTTCCACTCTTCCCCAAAGACTCCACACACCAGGTAAAAATAGTCCACTAAATGTTCAGGGATCCTCTCATAGCATTCATTCCCTGGCCTAGAGGACTCCCCAGTCCTCTCTCCTTTTACCAGTGAAAACTCTACCAACTCCTTGATGTAGCCCTGCCTCAGGATTTCAATTAATCTAAAAGCCTTCCAATTCTTTTTTTTTATGCCTTCCAATTCTTGTACCCATAATCTCTCAATCTCTCTCTCTCTCTCGTACAGTCATACTAGCTTTTTCATGTTTATAGCAACTAATGTACATATTTTAACTTTTCACCTAGCTCTTAAGCTCCTATAGGAGTAGTGTTCAACCTGAATTTTACATTAAATCATCTAAGGGGATTTTCTTTTCAAATACAGCTGTCCAGGCCCCTTTCTACTTATTTTGTTTAATTCATTCAGTCTGAGGTGAGCTCTGGACTCATGATTTTATGTGCAGGTAGAGATGACAGCCACTGTGTTAAAGGAACATATTGTGCCCTTGCAACTCTTTTTACCACTCTTGGTGCCAACAGCAGCCTCTCAATATGCAGCTGGGTCCTGGACCCATTCACCCACGAGCCATCCTCAATAGTCAGAGAAAAGCTCACATTCATTTTGCATCTAAGTTGGGCCTCTTACTCCATATTAGAATTTCAGTGCTGTTTTGTCTTCCTGAGTTACAGTTGGTATACAAATACCACTTCTTTAGAAATTACCTCATCATTTTTGTGCAGCACCTTTTCAGTGCACAGTAAAAACAACTACTTAGAGGGAAAAAGGCTACCAGGGAAAAGCCAGCTATGCTCTGGGAAACAGGGACATATGCAAACATATATCTCCCAGCCCAGTGTGCAACGACATAGTCACCAAACAGAAAGCAGACTTTTGGCAGTCCCAGGAGGTTACCTGGGGTGTGGCTTATCAGAAGTTCTAGAAGCTAAAAGTTTCAACATCAGTGATAGGAAACAGTATTTCTCATTGAGTGCCTTGGGGCAGGTTTATACGAGAGATTAACACTCTCATACAAAATCATATCAATTTGACTTGAAAGGAATTTTAGCCATCATCTAACCTATTTCACAACATAAGAAGGTAAGATTGAGAAAAGTTAAGCACTTTCCCAAAAATAACACAAAGACTGAGAAAAAACTCTTGGTTCCAAGGAAAGGACTGTCTCTACAATTTCAAACCATGCAATTAACATTTACCACTATTGCTATAATTCATGGTAAATGGGAAATTTTGGCCAAAGAAAACTATTAAAGATCACAGAGATATAAATTGTGATGGTTTATCTTGATTAGCAACTTGACTAGGTTGAGAAATGCCTAGGAAATTAGGAAAGCACACTCTGCATGTGTCTGTGAAGGTGTTTCTGAGATGACTGGCGTGCAGAACACCAAAGTGATGGGGAAGACCTGCCTCAGACAGGAGGGGTGTTATCCAATAGGGGCCTACACAGAACAAAAGCAGAAGGTGGAAGCCCCCTAGCACATGCTCTCTCACTCTCTCTCACTCTGCTTCCTGGATGCCATGAGGTGAGCAGATTTGCTCTACCAGACCCCTCTGCCTTGATATTCTGCCTCACCAGGCCCAAAGTAAGAGAGCCAATAAACCATGGACTGAAACCTCTTACAATGTGAGGTAAATAAATCTGTCTTCCTTTAAGCTGCTGTTCTCAGGTATTTTGTCAGTGAAAAGCTGACTAATATGCAAAGAAAGGACAATTCTTTTCATGGAGATTTCCAGGTAAAGACAAAGGGTTGGATCTACACATTAGTTTTGGATCCCTCCTGAAATTCCATTACAAATTTTGCTGTTGTTGTTGCTGTTGTTGTTGTTGTTGTTTAGGAAATAATGAAGTAAAAAATAGGAAAAGAGACAAAAACAAAATTCTAGACACTGGAAAGCAAATAAAATTTTAGAAACTGGTAGGTCCACTGGGGAGGGGAGAAGCCTGGGAACAACCCGATATATGCGGCAAAACCTTCAAATAGCTCAAGTATCAGCAGAATCCGGTATCTTTTAGAAGTCGTGGTGAAGAAAAACTTAAAGCAAAAGAATTGCCTGGTAGTCTGTTTAAGAAATAGACCAGATCCTCTCTCCACACCACATGACTAAGTGACTAATGCTCCCCAACCCTGGGCTAAAACTAGATTTATTTTTTTGAACCCTACAAAATAGAGATCTCTATCCTAGAAGAAACTAAGAACAACTGAGGCAAGGAGTTCCATACTAAAAGAGGGAGCTTACATGAGTGTACATGACTGAATGTTGGGACTACTCAGTTCTCTTTTCCCAAATGACTCACAGACTCTAGATAGGGAACAGATCTGAGTAACTCTATAAAAGTTTCAAAAAGAGTACAATCAGATCACACCCTATAGGTAGAGTCTGAGTCAGCAGGCTCACCCCCATACACAAACTTTCTATGGACTTTTTAAAGCCCCAATCTTATAAATGAGAGAAAGTCTAGGATGGCCAGACAATTCAGAAAAGATTCTAATACCAAACAACGAAAGATGAAAAAGCAATTTGTAGAAAAAAAAAGATTGTATAGAAAAAAGAATATGTCTTAGCTGGGCATAGTGGTGCATGCCTGTAATCTCAGCACTCGGGAGGCTGAGGCAGGAGGATCGCCATGAGTTCGAGGCCAGCCTGAGCTGCATAGTGAGTTCAAGCCCAGCCTAACTACATAGCAAGACACTGTCTCAAAAAAAGAAAGAAAAGTCAAGAATGTGTTTAAAAGATTAATAAATAAAATCAAAGAGTTAAGAAAACATAATCCGCCAGCTGTGGTGTTGCACATCTGTCATCCCAGCATTTGGTAGGCTGAGGAGGATTGCCATGAGTTCAAGGCCAGCCTGGGCTACACAGTGAGTTCAAGACTAGCCTGGATTACCTAGCAGGATCTTGTCCAAAAAAAAAAAGTCATACATGACAGATTAGGATACAGCCAAGGGGCCAGGTATTTAGCTCAATGGTTCCACCGCCTGCCTCACAAGCGCAAGGACCCGAGTTCCATCCCCGGTACCAAAAAAAAGCAACAGGATACAGCCAAAACAAGAAACAGAAGAAAAGAGAAGAAAAGAAAAGTAATTAAAAAGAAAACAGTAGAAATGAAAAACTCAATAGAATATAAAACTGAGGAATCTCTCAAGAAATAAAACAAAAAGTTCAAAAAAATAAGAATTGGAGAGAAAATATAATAGAATTAGAGGATCCACTCAGAAAGTTCAGCATCTGATAAACAAGAATTCCAAAGGAGAAAACAAAGAAAACAGGGTGACATGTTCATAGTGGCACAGTTTGTAAAAGCTAAAACTTGGAAGCAGCCCAAGTGCCCATCAACTGGAAACTGGATAAAGAAGATGTGGTTTTTTTATAAATGGAGTACTACTCAGCCATAAAGAACAAAAAACTAGAGTCATTTATAGCTAAAGGGATGCATATCAAGGCCATACTCTTAAGAGAAATAAATAGGACACACGTGTAAATACCGAATAGTTTCTCTAGTGTGAGAAACTGATAGTGTAAACAAGGGTTAAAATGATTAAAATGAATAATTGATAATTTGAAATAAGAAAAAAGGTCCAAAGACGAAGGGGTGAAGGGAGGGGAAGGGGAAAGGAAAGGATGGAAAGGAAAAAACTATGAGAAAAGAAAAAACAAATGGAAATGATGTCTATGTAAATAGGGAAGGGCGCACAGGTAATGGGGAAAAAATAAGAACAAAGATACATCATGTACAGGTACAAGCACCCAATGATAAATGTAAACGAATTGTACACCTAAAATGTACCAATAAAAGAACTTTAAAAAAAAAAAACCAGGGTGAAAAACAATGTTAGGAAAATTACACCAAAGAAAGATTATTTCCAGAGTGAAATATATCCAAATAAATGCACAACTTATAAAACTTCAAAATTATGGGGACAAGCATAAGAGTCAACAAGCTTAAAATCAGCCATCACAAAAGGATCAAAATTCAGAATGGCAATCATCAGGAGTAATACTGGAATCACAAAGACAATGGAGAACATTCAGAAAACTGATTTCTAACTTAAAAGTCTATACTAAACCAAGGTATCAATAAAGAGAATAAATATATTTTTCAAATATCCAAGGCTTTAAAATTTTTTACTTCCTGTTCATCCTTCTCAAAAAGCTACTTGAGATGTCTTCTACCAAAATAAAAGGCAGTAAACACACACATACTTTCTCTCTCTCTCCAGAAAAAAGGATTCCAACACAAGAAAGAGGTCAGGAGGGCCGGGGATATAGCTCAGCAGTGCAGCACCTCCTTGGCAAGTGGGAGGCCTTGAGTTCCCTTCCCAGTACAAAAAAATAAACGGTCAGGAGACTCCCTCGGTAAAGATGAAGGGAAATCCCAAGAGGAATGTCCTTGCTGCAGGCAGAGAGAGCAAGCAGTCCACACTGGATGGAGTTGGGAGGTTCTTGGAAAGAAGTCTTCTAGGAGATGAAACTAAATGTATGGGGAGGAAAGTTACAATAAATCAGTAAAACTTAGCCAACCTAAAAAATAAATCAATTCTAAGGTAAACAAAAATTGCCCAGAAAAAGAAAAGTAATCACAGTATGTCCCCGAGTCCAGCTGTAAATAATAGACACAGCATCATAATAAGCTAAGCAATACGTAAGAATCTTACTATTGATACAAATATTTTGGAAGAACAGGAAGTATGTTTCTATGTGAGTGGTGGAGGATGCTATGAGAGAGCTATGCCTTCCATAGTAGTAGCAATAGTATGAAGAAAAAGAAGTCAATAGAGAATACCTAAAATTGGGAAAAAAAATTAAGCATGCAACTTATTGGCTGTTAAAAGGCAAAATTACAACAAATTTAGTGATATCTCTAGCTTTTATATAAAACTTATGAATGTTGCAGCACCATTCTATAAAACAGAATGAGAGTTTAGTGAATAATGGCTGAACAATGTGATTTAGAAAGCTGGAAGGAGGAAGAGAAGAATCAGTTTGTTGAAGCTGACTGGCCAACATTAATTTCCTTCAAGTTAATTTTTCTTTTGTAAGAGCTAAACCAAGAAGACTTTTTTATCACACTGATTCAGGTAGATTGGAATCTCCTGTTTTCAGGAAAAATCTGGCTGCTTAACTTACCAGTCTTTGAACACTAGTATTATGAAGTAGAATGTGGAAATTACCACTCCTCACCAGTGAGAGATCCAAACCACCAAGAAGTTGCAAATCTCAGCACCAGACTAGGCTCAGTTCCACAGCCCTGTAATTATAGCCAACACATCTTACAAACTTTTTTATTGTGAAAAGTTCTGCCTAAAAAAATATTTTTTTAATAAGTGGATACTAGGGCAGTCCATCCTAGTTAATGTGACCTTCATAACACTTTTAATCAAAGGAACAGAGGTACTAAACCAGAAAAACAGAAAACCAAAGAAAAGAAAGGTAATTATGAGTTACCAAATAATAGGATGGGTTCAGTGTACTAAATAGGAAAAAAGACCTAGTTAACAGGTAGGTAAAAAGTGAATTCCTTACAGGAGTAAGCAAAAAATGATTTGAGGTAGTTGAAATTCTTATCTTGCTAGGTTAAATCATATATTATATGCTATAAATTTATTGCCCAAATCCAGTAACATTTTACCTACAAAATCAATGATCTTATATAATTCAGTCTAATACTTGGTATGATGGTTAATCTTGTTTGTCAACTTGATTGGATGGAGAAATACCTAGGAAATTAGTAAAGCACATGTCTGGGTGTGTCTGTAGGATGTTTCCAAAGATGACTGGCACATGGGACAATTAGTCAAACTGATGGGGGAGATCTGTCCTGAATATGGGTGGCACCATCCAACAGGGTGAGAGCTTAAATGAAGCAAAAGGGGAAGAAGGAGAACCCTGCTAGCATACGCTCTTTCCCTCTCTCTCTCTCCTTCCCAGCAGCCACAAGGAGAGCAGCTTTCCTCCACTACTCCCTTCTGGTAGGATGTTTCTGCCTTGCCACAGGTCTAAAAGCAATAGAACCAGCTGACTATGGACTGACACCTCTGAAACAATAAGCCAAACGTAAACTTTTCCTTCTTTAAATTGTTTTTCTTGGGTATCACACACAGCAACAAAAAGCTAATGCAATTAGTGTTATCCTAAGATTAGTAAAGTTCAGTTAAAACACTCAGTTTAAGAATTTCTACATCAGAACGTCTTGAATTATTAAACATCTTATCACAGGTTTATAATAAAGTTACTAATTTTTGCATTTTTAAAAAATCTACCATAAATGTCCATCCAACTGGCATTTATCTGAGAAACCAAAGGTATGTGCCTGTCAATATCTGTAAATTTTATTTCAATTTGAAGGTACCTAAAATATTAGCTCAGTGGTTCCACTGCCTGCCCCACAAGTGCAAGGACTCAAATTTGATCCCTGGTACCAAAAAAAAAAAAAAGCAGAAAGTACATAAAATAGATGGCTACAGTACAAGAACAAACTTTCTGAATATATATTCTCAGCTAAATTCCTTTTTGTAAAAGGAGAGTAAGTAGCAGAAATACAACAAAAGGGAAAAAATGCTAGGATGACCTCAATCAGAATAAAGGCATACATTTAATGTTCCCCACTTAATTACATATCATGGTTTCTTTGTTATGGTAGCTTAACTTTTATTCTGCCTAATGGAAAACCCTGTGGAAAAACTGATGAAGCTTTCTAATCCTTTCAAAAAAAAAGAAAATTGGTCCTCTTTAGAATAGTGCTGACAAATTCAAATGTAAAATGAAGGAAGTAAAATTTTATCAGACAAATGATGCCTAGGAAAACAATTCATAGTTGATTCACTATTCTAAGAATTAACAATTATAACCTAAATGGTGCTGAATATGACATAAAATTAACTTTATTTTTACATTATTTTTTAAGGATAAGTCTGAATTACAGTGCTTTCTCTTTCTTTTGCTATTTACTACAAAATTTAAGTGAAGTCAGTTTAAGTTGCAACATTCTGGCCCCAATTCTCAGCTGGCAACTTGAATACTGATTGGCTATTTATGATAGCAAGGTTTGCTGGTGTTTTATTAGCTTTTCACTGCTATCATGAGATATCTAAGGTTGCTAACTTTATAAAGAAAAGAGGTTTATTTAGCTCACAGTTTGGGAGGTTCCAGGGCATAGCACCTGCTTGGGTTTGGTTCTGGTGAGGGTCATCATGTCTGCTTCACATCATGGTGAACAGCTACGGCAGGAGCACAATTTCATATGAGAAGCCAGTGAGCTGGGTGGGCCAGGCTCAGACATTTATGACAAGCACTCATGAGAACCACTGTGGAATCACGGAAGAACTCTTAATCTTCTCCAAGGACAGGACCCCAGTGACCCAAGGACCCCCCATTAGGCCCCACCTTTCAAAGGTCTTAGGTCCCAATGCTCCCACACTGAAGACCAAGCTCTCAACACATGGACCCTTGGGGGACAAACCACATCCAAACCATAAAAGTGAAATTTTTTGGTGATATTAAGATAGTGTTAGGTTATTTGAGGGGTTATGTTTATGTGCAGAGAGGAGGAGGATGATACTGTGACTGTATTTTTGAGAGTTTCCATCTTTTAAAAACACACACTATAAAATCTACAGATAAAATAGTGTCTGTGATTTGCTTCATAATCTGGTGTAGGAATATAGACAAAATAAAATTAGTTCATGAGTTGATAGCTTTTGAAACTATGTGATAGATACAAAGGGTTCCTTATACTGTCATATTTTTATTTATCCTTGAAATTTTCCATTATAAAGGTATTTAAAATATGATTAAGTGAATAACATGGCTTTTCATGTCTCAGTCATGCAGCACTTTGGAATTAGTAAGAAAGAGAATAGAAAAATGGCAAAGGATACATGATCATGCAATGTGACACCAGCTCTTCTCTGACAAACAGGAATATGTGGTTTCCAGTCACCAAAAATAAAAAGCACAATCTAATGTAACATTTGTCCTTGTGATAACTCTACTCTTCCTGCAACATATTTCCTTTCCTTTTCCCTGTTCAAATTTCTTTTAACATCATTTCGTTTGGGAAACATACTCTTTTTTGTTTTAATTTTATTAGAACATGTTTGCATTATACAATGTTTACATTCATCTTAGAGAGTAGGTACATGTACTTAACACATCTTGATTCTTTTCATTCCCTTTCCCCTCTCTCCCTCTGTCTCTAGATTCCCTTTCTCCATTACATTATTATTGTTATTATTTTTAGTTCATGTTTACAACATATAATGATTACATTCATTGAGGATAGTTGGTGTATGTACATGCTGTATCTTAAGTCCTTTTACATCCCCTTCCCCTGCCCCCTCCCACCCTTGCTCTCTCAGTCCACCTTCTATTTGCAAAAGATCCGTTTCCTTTTATCAATATTTTATTTTGCTCTTTATTTGTGCTTTGGATTACTCAAATGAGAGAAACTATACAGTATTTAAGTTTGTGTGTCTGACTTCACTTAACATTATGTTTTCCACGTGTATCCATTTTCCTACAAATGCCTCTAATTTATCCTTTATAGCTGAGTACTATTTCATTATGAATAGATAGCACATTTTCTTTATTCATTCATCTGTTGATGGACATATATAGGCTGCATCTAAGATTTAGCTAATATGAATGTGTAGCTATGAACACTGGTATGCACATATCTCTTTAATATGATGTCTTTAGCTCTCTTTGGAAGATACCTAGAAGAGGAATAGCTAGGTCAAATGAAATTTTGATTATTAGTTTTTTGAGAAATCTCTGTACTGATTTCCAAAATGGTTGTACTAGTTTACATTCCAACCAACAATGTAGAAGGGTTCATTTTTCACCGCCAGCATTTGTTATTATTTGATTTCTTGATGACTGCCATTCTTCCTGGCATGAGGTGAAAACTCAGTGCCTTTTTAATTTGCATTTCTCTAATGGACAAAGATGTTAAACATTTTTTCATATGTTTATTGGCCATTTATACTTCTTCTGAAAAGTGTCTATTCATTTCACTTGCCCATTTTTCATTGCACCTTTGATTTTAGGGATCTAATTTTTTTTTGAATTCTTTATATATTCTAGTTATTGGTCTTTTAACTGAGGAAGAACTGGAAAAAAATTTTTCCCATTCTGTAGGCTGCCTCTTCACTCCATTGATTGTTCCCTTTGTTGTGCAGAGGCTTTTTAATTTGATATAATCACATTTGTTGATTCTTGCTGTTATTTCTTGTACAGTTGGAGTTCTGTTCAGAAAGCTCTTGCCTGTACTTATGTCTTCAGGACTTTTTCCTATTTTATCTTCCAGTACATTAAGTGTTTCTGCTTTAATATTTACATCTTTAATCCATTTTGTTTTTAGTTTAGTACATTGGTGAGAGATATGGGTCCAGCTTCAGCCTTCTGCATATGGATAGCTAGTTTTCCCAGCACATTTGCTAAAGAGGCTATCTTTTCTCCTATGTTTTTGGCCCCTTTGTCAAAGATCAAATAGCTAAATGTGTCTGGGTTTCTTTTGGCATCCTCTATTCTGTTCCATGCACTCACATGTATGTTTTTGTGCCAATACCATGCAGTTTTTATCACTGTGTAACTTTGTAGTATAACTTGAAATCAGGTATTGTGATGCCTGCTGCTTTACTTTTTTTTTTTTTGTACAGGGGATCCAACCCAGGACCTTGCGCTTGCTACGCAGGCGTGGCACCACTGAGCTACATCCCTGGCCCCTCCTGCTTTATGCTTGTTGCTCAGGACTGCTTTTGCTATGCTGGGTCTTTTCTGATTCCATATGAATTTTCAGATTGTTTTTTCTAGTTCTATGAGGAATGCCATAGGTATTTGATTGGGATTGGGATTGTGTTAAATCTATGTATTAGTTTTGGAAGTACAGCTATTTTGACAATATTGGTTCTGCCTATCCAAGAACATTGCCTGTTCAAATTCCATTGAAGCAGAAATTTGATTTTCAAGTCTACAGCATGAGACAAGAAAAATTCTGTACAAACTAACAGTACCTAAGCACAGCGGACCATCAGGCAAAATAAGTGTATTAGTCATTTTCCCACTGCTTTAACAAAATACCTGACACCTACAACTTAAAAGAGATTTATTTTGGTTCATAGTTTTATAGGGTTCAGTTCATGGTTGGCTGGCTCTGGGCATAAATGGCATGGTAGGCTGGGGATTTAGCTCAGTGGTTCCGCTGACTGCCTCGCAAGCACAAGGTCCCGAGTTCGATCTCTGGTGCCAAAAACAAAACAAAACAAAAAAATGGCATGGTGGAAGGGCACAACAGAAGAAAGTTGCTCAACCCATGGCAGGCAGGAAGCAGTAAGGCAAGAAAAAAGTGAGGGACAAGAACACACAACACTCAGGTCACACCCCCCAATCACCCAAGTCCAATCAGCCCCCACCTCCTAACAGCACACTCAGCTATGAATTCATCATGTGTCTCTATGGTTCAATCACCTTCCAGAAGCCCCACCTCTGAACACATGAGACTTTGGAGGGACATTTTAGATCTAAAGCATAATAGTAATTAAATCAAAAATGCATCCTTCTTATAAAGGAATCTTTGGAAAACCCACCAATGGTCAGTGTCACAACTGAAACTATAGAGCATACTCTAGAATAAGGCAAATTTGACCAGAAAAAATATTTACTCTAATTTCTAGGCTATATGGGTCCCAACTAATATGAAGAATTTCTAAAACTGAAATGCCAGGTCTTATATGCCTGCTATTCAAGAAGGAAAAATAAATAAATTGATAAAAATACTTTCTGCATAGAAAACATACCTAATCCATCACCCATAACAAATAAAAAATATAAATTATATTCAAAAATGTCATGGAAGCCAGACATAATTGTACACACTTGTAATCCCAATTTTCAGGAAGATTGCAAGTTCAAGCCAAAACCAAGCAACTTAATAACTTAAGAGAGACCATCTCAAAATTTACAAAATAAAATAAAAAAGACTGGAAATATAGCTCAGTGTATAGCCCCTGGATTCAATCTCTAGTGCCACCAAAAAAACAAAACCAAAAAAAAAAAAAAAACTTTTTTTGTATAGATAAAGGCAATACTGTTTGGCAATGTTGTTTGGAAGTTGTAATCTTAGTGATATTTCAAAAATGTCCAATGATATTTTTAAATTTCCTCTTGATAATAAATAAATTGAAAATTACTCTCCTTCATTTTCCCTATTACTGTCATTATCTGGCCCATTTGTAATATGTAATGCCATTGTTTTTAAACAGCTGCAAATTCATTGCCACTCCTCCCACTAAGAGTCAGGGTCTATTTCTCCACACCTTGACTCTGAGTGGGTATCTTGGTCACTTTCCTTATCATTTAGACACAACAGCTAACACCTACAACTTAAAAGAGAAGTTTACTTTGGCTTAGTTTCAGAAGTTTCAGTTTATGGTTGGCAGGCTCAAGGCAGAAACAACATGGTAGAAGGGCCTGCCAAGGAGGAAAGCTGCTCACATCATGGCCAGGAAGCAGAGAGAGAAGTGAGGAGCCAGGGAGGGAGATACACCTTTCAGATCACACCCCAAGTGACCCACCTCCAACCAGGCCCCACCTCCTAACAGCTAGTAGGCTATACCACCCCCATAATCTACTGACTTTCCAAAAACCCCACCTCTGAACACATGGGGCTCTAGGGCAGGCACAATCTAGATCTAAGCCATACACTGGGCTTGTGGCTCCTTTGACTAATATGGTACAGCAGAAGTGATACTACGTGACAGCTGAATCTAGGTCGTAAAAGCCATACAGCCCCTGCCTGATTTCTTTGGGCCTCTGCTCTTTGCACACAGCCACCGTGCTAAGAGAAGTACATGTCAAACAGAGAAAATGTACAGATGTTCTGTAGAATTCCAGTGATACCCTCTCTTCAAATCATGCCCACCCAGGAGCCAGCCGTACAAATGAGAGAACTTCAGGGCTGGGGATTTAGCTTAGTGGTTCCGGCGCCTGCCTCACAAGCGCAAGGTCCTGAGTTCAATCCCCATTACCAAACAAACAAACAAAACAAACAAAAAGAACTTCAACGGATTCCAATCCCTGGTCATTCAAGTCACCCCCAGCCACCTAAAGTTCCTGAGATAAGAGCCCAGACCTTGTGAAGTAAAGACAAAACATCCCTACCAAGCACTGTCTAGCTGTCAACCTACAGAATCCCTGAGTGTGATAAAATGATTGTTCATGTGTGCCTTTAAGTTCTG